GAGACAGTGTGAAATGGCCCAGTGACTGTTGGGTGTGTAAGGCAGGGCTCTTGGGCTGTGGTGGGGCTGTAAGGGACCACCACTTACTCCCTCCCTATCTCTCTGCATCCCTCTGATCCCAGGCTGAGCTCTGACACACCTGGGGCTCTCGAGAGCACGAGTCAGTAGAGTAATTAAAATGCCTTCCATGAGGCAAAAGTGCTGCAAATCCTCTGGACAGCTGTATCTGTGAAAAACAGAGGAGTGCTTTCCATGCTTTGTGTGCCTGGCAGGGGCTCTTCCCCATGAGCAGAACTTCCGCTAGGAAATGTAAAAGGGAATTATTTCACATTATTTCAAGGCAGCCCCTGACTGGGGTCCCTGTTCCTGTTGGGTCAGAGCCATCTTCCTGGGCAGCCAGACTGGGGAAGCTGTCACTGCCATCAGGAACATGGAGCAGGCAGTGCTGCCAGCACAGGCACAGGCAGGGCTGCCAGCCTGGGGACAAGCAGGGTGGCCAGCACAGGGACAAACAGGGTGGCCAGTGTGGGGACAAGCAGGGTGGCCAGCACAGGGACAAACAGGGTGGCCAGCGTGGGGACAAGCAGGGTGGCCAGCCTGGGGACAAGCAGGGTGGCCAGCCCAGCTGAGCGCCTTTGTCTGTGGGGGGTTTTCTCATTGTGTCTTCAACGGTGTCAAGAGCAAAGCCCGTCAGTGTTGAAGGCACCCAGATCTCCTCAGTCTCAATAAGACCAGAGACATTTTTTCCTTGGGCTTCATTCCCAGGAGTTGCTTGCACAGGTGAGGAGGGATGCGGGGCCAGGTCGGCTGCGTGGGGAGAGGATTAATGCAGGAACCAACCTCGTTGGACTTTGTTTATTTTTTCGCATTAACGAGGAGGAGAAAGGTGCCCAATTCCTTGAGAGCAAACCCAGGGATGACAACAGCCTGATGCACAGTGACATGTTCAACGGAGCTGTCAGGGTGCTCAGGGATGCTGCTGGGGAGGGTGTTTGCTACCTGCAGAGTCTTGTCACTGTGGGGATCCCACATGTCCCACACGTGGGAATTACAGAGAGGCTGCAGGACCAGCGATTTGCAGCAGCGCCTCCAGCACAGGGCTGAGGGTGATTAATATTCAGTGCACTGCCATGAAAATGAACAGCCAGACAGGACTGTCCTCCTCCCCTTCCTGCATCCATGAGGACAGCGAGGGGAATGTCTGGAGCACGAGCACGGAGACAAGGTTCGCTTTTGGTCAGGCTGATACAGGATTTTGACACTAAAACAGATGCTTCATTCTCTTTTGCATTATTTAGTGTCTTTCAATCTGTTTCTTCCTTTTTAATGTCATCTTTCTGTTATTTAATTACAGGAAGTTTAAAAAAGAATAGTAGGACGCCTTGGTTGAAGCTATGAGAACCAAACAGGAGGCATTTGCAAAAACAGTTTCTCTTCAAAAAGGGGAAATGTTCTGGTTTTCTTTTCATTAAAAAAATTCCTCCCATAATTTCTTATCAAAATTCTGGTGAAAAACCCTTTTACTGTTGGCAGGAAAGCTTTCCCCATCCCATGTTCAGCGTGGCAGAAGCAGTGGCAACACTAACAGCACCCAGGATGCTCTGGACAGTGGACAGATGCCCCAGGACTTGGAGGACAAAACTCCCACAGCTGGTGACATCCTCAGTGCTCGTCCTGCCCCACCACTGCTCCTTACCTGGCATCTGCCCTGCCCAGGGATGGCTCCTCCATCTTCCTGGGGCTCTTTTCTTCTCGTGTTGGGTGCAGAAGTTTGGAATAGCCTCAGACTAGCTGATCCTGTGTCCTTCCAGCAGTGGGCTGAGCTGGGGCTGGGTGCTCTTGTCCACCAAAGCAGCTGACAACAGAGAAAAGAGGAGCCACAGGCACGGCCAAGGCCACTGTTTGCCTTCAGGGCTTTGGTTCTGCGCTGACCTGGGCCAAGGCAAACCCTGGCTGGTGGCCTCAATCCTCAGGTTGTTGTTCTGTTGTGCAACCAGCAGCAGGGAACTTGGGGTGGCTGCTGCAAAATGATCCCTGTGGGCAAACACAGCTTGGGGTGCTCTGGGCAGGAGATCTGGCACCACTCGGAGCTCTGCTTGCACAGGCACTACCAGCCCCAAGCCAGGCTCCAGCCACAGGGCTCTGCCACAGGTCCCTGCAACATCCATTCCACCAGCCCTTCCACATATATCAGCCACTGCAGGGGAACCTAGTGGGGTTAAAGGAACCTCCAGGTGCCCCCAGCCCCAGAAAAAAACCCCATCTCTGCGCTTGCAACCAGGACTTGCAGAGATCTAGGGTGTTCCAGAGTCACCTGTCCTGGCACACTGGGGCCAGGTAGTGCCAGCAACAGGGACATCTCCTGTTGCAGGCACCATTTGTTATTAATGTTGGTGGGTCAGGCTGGTGTGGGTGCTGCCACTGGCTCTGCAGGTCTCACCATGACTGTTGGCTGCTCACCCCTCCCTCTGTGGCAGTGGAGGTGGGATCCAGCCCAATGGCAAAGCAGCACCTGGAAGGGTTTGGTGTTTGGCATTTTGTCTCTAAGGTTACTGAGGGAACATTTACACCTCTCTTTGCAATCATTCACAGCCGGTAAGCCTGGGATGGGAGTTGGCACTTTCCTTCATCCTCCTCCTATTTCCTTAGGAACTGGAAACCAAAGGTGCCCAACGATGCGTTACGGACTCAATAGCTTGGGCCAAGGCACTGCCACCCCTCCTGTCCTCACTCTCACAGCCATCAAAGGGCACCAAGAATCTGCTCGTCATCTTTGTGCTCTGAGCACATGTAGGTCATTGGCACCAAGCTCCATTTCCTGGAGTCCCCAGTGTGTTGTGTTCGTGTTACTGCAGCCAGAGTGAAAGGCAGGGGGGATGCAACGGGGTGCAGCCCAGACATGCCTAATGACCACATCTCCTAATGACCACATCTCCTGATGACCACATCTCCTAATGACCACATCTCAGTAGTGTTTCCAGCTCTGTGATTAACTGGCAGGGCTGGGCTGACGTCGGGCTGCTCGGGGTATCAGGGTATCGCTTGCTCACAGGCTGCCATGGTGAGGTAAAGGGAGTGAGAAGCAGCAGGAGAGGCTGGGCCGAGGTTCCAGAGCACCTGGTGACACCTCAGTCGCCCCATCACCTTGGGAAAAGAGTGGTGGGAACCTCCGAGGTTTTTAGAGGAACATTTAGCTGCAAGCAGGAGCCCTGGCCATGGGAATGAGGCACCAGGGAGGTGCAAACAGCACCAGGACTCCCCTGCACCCACGGGATGGGGGTCTGGGCAGGACCATGACGGGCAGAGGAGAGAAGGGTGTTGGTGCTGCCCACCAGGGATGACCAGAAGGGCCAGTGTGGGCACTGGGAAGTGGCTGGTCACACATGGTGCTGTGCCAGCGGATCCGGAGGCTGCAGGCTCAGGAATCTGGCCCTGGCCCCACCAGCTCTCACCATGCAGCCATTCTGCTCTGGTGCTGTGGCACAGCCAGCCCTAGGGATGGATGAGGTTTGATGCCACTGCAGCTGGGGGTGAGCTCCTGTGCCTGAGAGTTTGCAGGCTACTAACACCTGCTCACTCCGGGGTCCTGGGGGTCCCAGCCCCAGCCCGGTAGGGAGCTGCCTCGATGGGGCACCAGGGATGTGTTTGTTCATGTCAAACAGCTCCCAGCTCTCTGGCAACAGGTGGGAGCAGGAACAGGCACTGAAAGAACCAGCAGCTCAGGGACAGGGGCAGAATAAATCTGCATAAATACAAATGAGGGGAATATTTATTTCCCACACTGACCACATTTCTGTTGCTACTTTAAGCTGTGAGAGGGGGGCTTCAGCAGCCTAAGCAGGGCTTGGGCTTGACTCAGGCCTTGTTCTGGGGCTGGAGCCACTTGTGATTCCCCACCTTCCCAGCAGACTCACCTATTCAATATTCCTCACAAGCGAGTTACTCCTGTAGCTGATGGGAGAGATAAATAACAAAACCCTCACAAATGCAAAAATCCTTTGGCAGTTTGGAAAGGAACCAAGTCACGTGCTGAATGCAGACGAAGAAAAATCCTTTTTATTGTAAGGAGTAACAGAAGGGTGTGAATCAGCCTCAAATCCACCTCACCCACAATGCAGCACATCCAAATCCACTCGGAGATTACAAGGCAGGATAGCATTCACTCTGATCAGTTCAAAGCGTCGCTGTTTGGGAACAAATCGGCTGAGTGTGCGCCTGGATTAGACTGGGGGCCTTTTTGCCTCTTGAAATCACTGGAAACAGCAAAATTCCCTTTTGAAATGGTAAGCTAATCAAGAAGCAGAAGGAGAGCAAAGACAAAGCATTTACAGCTTTTGGGTTCAGGTTCATCCCTTTTCTCCCTTCCCTTCTCGGGGGTTTGGTGCAGTTGGTGCAAAATTCTGAAATTCCTGAGGGGTGGCTGTGAGGGAACCAAACCCCTGCCTCCAGCCCAGCTGTCTGCTTCCAGCACCTGGAATATCCCTTTTGTGCTGAGCCATTACCTGGCCCAAACCCCAGCCCCAGTGAAGCTGGGGTGGGCGTGAGGAAGAAGCAAGGGGTGAAGGTGTTCCCTTCATCAGTGAGTGCCATAACAAGTGGCTTGTGGCTGTGAGAACCAGGAGAGCACAGAGGCAAGACCTGGGGCTCCTGCCTCTGTAGTCACCAGCCTGGCTAACCACTGACACAGGTAACCAGTGACATGGCTGATCATTGGCACAGATAACCCTGGGCTGTAAAAAGACACCAAAGTCTGAGAAGTCTGAAATGTAGAGCAGAGGAAAATGTGGGGTTTTGGTGGGTGTTCTCCACTTTCGTGTCTATTCTCCATGTATCAAGTCATCTTCCTCCCTTCCCTCCTCCTCCTCCTCAGGAATTGCCTGTGGAGGCACCTGGAGACATCAGGTTTTTAGACAGCCCTGTGCTCTCCCCATCACCTCCTGCTGGCAGGCAGCAGGGTCAGGACTCATCCCACCCAGCCCAGGCACTGGCACTGGCACAACTGGCAGCAGAGCCCTGAGCCAGGTCCCCAGGCAGCAAATCCTCCTTACCCACGTACTTCCAGCCTGTGGCTATGGATTGCTCCCAGGATCGACACCTGCGGCTGGGGGAGAGACACCAGGTCAGTGCACCCCCTCCTCCAGGCCCCCCCAGCCCCACGGTCCCCTGGCAGCCCCCACTGCTGGGCCAGGTTTGGTGGTGTCCCATGTGCCAGTGGCCCGAGAGCCTCCAGCTTTATGGGCAGAGATGATTTAGTGCCCTGAGGAATATGGCTCTGGAGAAGCTGGGACGGCTTCCAACTCTTCCTTTCCTCCCCTGTATATTAACTTTCCATGCATATGAAGCTGAAAGCTCTTCCAATCACCTCTGCAAATATTAATTAATCCTCGCAGCATCCCGAGGACCATTATTCACTCCTATTAAGCAAATATTATTAAATCCTTTTATAAGAGGTGAAGTGACTTTTCTAGGGCTGTGCAGGGCATAAGTAGGAGCGCACAGACTTTCTCTGTGTAGGAGCCACTGCTGCAGAATAGCAAAGCTGTTCACACCTGAGCTGGGGGATGTCTCTGAGGACTGGGCACTCCAACCACCCCCAGCACTGCTGTGCCATGCAGGGTACAAGTGCTCTGTGGGACTCTTCTGAGATGAGTTGGCAGCTCTGGTTGCACCCCAGAACCATGAGGACCCCCTTCCCGCTCTTGGCCACTACCCAGGATGGTGTCCCCCTTTCAGCTGCCCTGTTCTGGCTCACAGACACCCCTGGGGATCCCCATAGTGGCACTGGAGACAGACTCACTCTGGAGGAGCCAGTCGATGAAGGTGCTTGGGAATGGGGAGTTCTGCAAAGAACAAGGAGGCGTTAGAATGTGGGAATGTGGAGGGAGGGCAGCAGTGCAGGGACATGGGATGGGACACGGGATGGGACACAGGATGGGACACGGCTGTACCTGCAGATCCAGCTCCACGAAATGCCCGGACGTCACCGGCAGTTTGGAGAGGGCAGAGTAGATTTTCCCCAGGAGCCCGAAGGAGACGACGCCTGGGGACAGGGAGAGGCCATCAGGGCTGGGCAGAGCTGGCTGTGGGTCCCAGAGCCGCCCTCTGCCTGCAGTGTCTGGCAGAGGCTGGGAGAATATCGTCCTGCCCATCACGGAGTAAAACTCCTCGTCCTTCCTGTGGATCTCAGACCTCCCGGGGTTCAAAGATTCCCGTGAAAGCTGCTGCCCAGGAACTACCAGATGCGTGTCCCATCACAAAGGAAATGTTGGGGATAAATGGGGCAGCTCTGCTTGCAGTGAAGCAGCAATCATGTCTGTGTGAGATTTGACATGAATAGATTTGGGGAAGGAAAACCCCACAGGTTCTGCAGGGCTGCAGTGGAGGGTCCAGGCAGAGCCACCTCTTGGCAGCAGCTTGAGTCTGTCCCTGGTGGGACAAACACCCACGAGAAGAGCAGGACTGTGGTGTCTGGCAGTGGCAGTGAGCCAGGACTGTGCCACCCACAGTGGCTTTGCTGGAGGAGCAAAGCTAGTCCTGCTCCATGCAGAGAGACTCCTGCTCCCATGAATTCAGCTCTCCTCAAGACTCCTGCTGCCCGTGGAGGTGGTTGGACACACAAAACCCAAGTGTCACTCAGTATAGAAAAGAAAACTTAATGACTTACGGTTGAGGAATTGTAGTTTCATGTTGATGATGCTGACCCAGATGTTCACTAACGGGCAGAGCTGCAATGGCAACAAGTGGCACAGCCTTGGTGAGAACACTGTGGGTGCAGCAGCACGTTCCCCAGCATGGCTTGAGTTTCACAGACTTAAATCAGGATGGAACAATAGGCTCTGAGAGCACAGTTCCTCCATGGAAGAAGAGCCATATGACTTGTTCAGCCCTCTTCTTAAAACAGTATAGGTTCTACTGAACAGGACAAGAGATTCTCTAACAGGCCCCTTTGCTCTAAGTGGGGCTGTTGCTTCTGCTCATCCCCCCCAGGGAGCACCTGAGTACAAATTATCCCATAACATTGCATGATGGAATTGAAATTACTCCTAACAAATAAATTCTGACTGTAAGGAAGATCAAGGAATTTTGTGGAATTCACTTATGGGCTGCAGGCATAAATATATATTGCATATATGTTGTGTATATATGTCATCCCTGACCACGGGAGGGGGGTTGGTATAACTGATCTTTAAGGTCCTTTCCAGCCTAAGCTGTTCTGTGATCCTCTGTGTGTGTGTATGTGTGTGTGTAAATCTTCCAGAGAGTTCTGGCAGGACCACTGATTGCAGCTGAGATGCATCTTCACAGCAAAGAACATTCAGACACTCACTAGCGCAGGGACAAGGGTCTTGAGAGTAGAGTTCAGCAAGCTGCTCACCAGGTTGGTGAGGAGGCTGGGGAGGGAAAGGACACACAGAAATTACCAGGGAAGTTGTCAAAACCTAGGACTTGACATCAAGACAAAACGGTGGCTGTGGAGGAGCCCCTCTCATCTTCTCTCCTCTTAATATTAAAAGATGCCACAAGCCCACAGCTCCCCCAGGCTTTAGCAGGAATTGCAGACGCTCAGGGCTTGGTTATCTGAATCCCATAATCTGGTCATTATGGTGTCAGTCCGTGACACTGAAGTTCTGCCCTGCTGCAAACTTGCAGGAACTCACCCACACACTTGAGCTCACCCACGCACTCACCCCTTCCGCAGGTTGACACTGAAGCCACCAAGCAGGTTCTTGCAATCCTTAATCACCAGCTTGAGGTCCCCGGGGGTGTCCTGGGTCACGGCGATGTGTGACGTGATGTTCGTTTCTACCGAGGATCCACTCAGAAAGTTAAAAATCCTGGAAAAAGAGGGGAGTATCGTGGAGGGTTATGGGAGAAACAGAAGCAGCACAGGAGCTGCAAGGACAGGCTCGGCTGGTACAGAGCTTTAGTCTTGGGACTTCTGTCAGGCTCCTGGTCCTGTAGCAGATCACAGAATCATAGAATCATTAAGGTTGCAAAACACCTCTAGATCACCAAGTCCAACCATCAACCCAGCACCACCAGCATGTTCACCACTAAACATGTCCTCTGGTGCCATATCCACAGGTTTTTTGAACACTTCCGGGGATGGCAATAGCACCTTTGGAGTAAGGACAGCTGGAAATGGTTGCAGGAAGAGGCAGCAGTACAGCCCTGAGCTTTCCTCACCAGCCCATTTGCTCAGCCCTCGGGGATGTTTCTCCAGCACCGGGGAGTGTCCCATCCTCCCCAGTGCCCTCAGGCCCCCGTGGCCTCACTCCCTAGCCCTGCTCACCCTGGAAAGCGGAGCACCAGCTTCGAGTACAGGTTCAGCACCAGTTCAGTCCCATGAAGGACCTTCCATGACACTCGGGCGTTCTCGAGGTTCAGCACCTTCAACCTGGGGGTCGACACCGAATCAAACCCACCTTGAGATGGCAGGATCAGCAGGAGCAGACCCTACAATCCCATCTCTTCCCGCTCATCGTTTGATCTGTTACCCATTTGGATATTCCCAGGTAAAAGTGAAGGTGGGGAAGGACCAACCCCTGCTCCAAGAAAAGCCAATCTCAAAGCAGGTTTCTCAGGGCTGTGTCCTACTTGCTCTCAACCACCTCCAAGGGTGGAGATTCCCCCACCTCCCAGACTGCCCATGGCAGTGTCACAGCACTCCCATGGGGAAGACTTTTCCCATTTCTGGTTGGAATTTCCCCTGTCACAGATCCTCATCTGAGCCCAGGACTGGTGGTTTGTACGACAGGGAGGGTCTGATCCCCTGGACACTACTGGTCGCCCTGCAGTGAGCCCCACCATGGGGCTTCTGACTCACCAGGCATAGCGTGATATCCTCTCAGAGGTTCCACCACCCAGCAGGCCTCCTGCACCCAGAAGTCCTCCTGCTTCACCCAGAAGACCATCAAGACCAAGTAGACTTCCGTTGCCTAGGAGACCTCCTTTCCCAAGCAGCCCTGTGCCAAGCAGACCTTTATCTCCAAGAAGGCTGTTATTGCCGAGGAGGCCATTGCCAAGGAGGCCGTTGCCAAGGAGGCCATTGCCAAGGCCTTCCCCACCAAGGATCCCTGTGCCAAGTCCTTCCCCACCAAGGATGCCTGTGCCAAGTCCTTCTCCACCAAGGATGCCTGTGCCAAGTCCTTCTCCACCAAGGATGCCTGTGCCAAGTCCTTTTCCACCAGGGATGCCTGTGCCAAGCAGACCGCTGCTGCCAGCTTGTCCTCCTGCAACAGTCAGAACTCTGTTACTGTCCTGGCCATCACCCTCCTCTCCCAAGCACGCCCACGCCAAGTAGACCTTCCTCACCTAGGAGGCCTGTGCCAAGGACCCCAGATCTGCTGGGTTCATTTCCTGCTTCAAGGGGAGCTCCGCTTTCTGCTCCACTTGGACTTCCCTTGCCCAGGAGGCCGGTGCCAAGCAGCCCAGCTTCACCAAGAACACCTGTGCCAAGCAATCCGCCTTTTCCACCGATGAGACCAGTACCAAGCAGACCTGCACCAAGGGAGTCCCAGTTACTAATCAGACTTCCACCACTGGGAAGATTCCTTTGGCAAGAAAGGTTGGTTTGGCCACGTTAGGTTGCTCTGCTTGTGAGATCTCATAGGGATCCCAGAGCATCCTTGAGCAAAGCTGGGTTCCCCACAGAGATGATCCTGCCAGAAAGCATCTCCCTGATGACCAGAGGGACACACCATGAGCCTAAAATGGTACAGGACTGTGCCATGTCCCTCCCCTGGAAACACAGAAAATATCTGAACTCACCACCTGTGGCTTGCTTTGGGTTCAGCAGGTTGAGGAGGCCCTGGGAGGAGGGCAGGAGGCCCCCAAGAAGGATGAGACACCAGAAGTGTGGCATCTCCTGACCCAGCATCTGTGGAAAGAGCCACATCAGCCCACACACCAGTTCCAGCACATGGGTATATGCAGTCTGGGTACTGGTACAGCTCCCCATCCTTCACGTGCACTGCCCTGGGGTGATGGGGGAGGTTCCCCCTGGACATTTAGCTTCCAGAAACCACACCCCCAGACCCCAGAGGATCAGTCCAGGCCTGCAGCACCTTCTTCCCACCCAGAAAGGTTGAACCACTACTGGTTAGCAGGGAGTAGCTGGAGCCCGGTGCTGCACTGCTCCAGAACCATCGATGTCTGGGCTCCCACACTGCAGAGCTGGGTGCCTGATACTGCAGGGAAGCGAAAATGCCATTTTAAGAGAGGAAGAGGGATGGAGATGAGGGAGGAGGACCTTGTACTGAGAGAGATAGATGGCTTCCCACCACTCCAAAATGGCCCTGTAAGTAGAACTCTCAGAGGGGCACAGCCGAATAAAAAATGACGACTGTCTCAGTAGTGTCCTTCTGCCCACTGTGAAGAGTACGCTGAGTTATTAAAACCCAAAGCACAGCCAGAATCAGACTCACTTTCCTGTGGGCAGATTGTTTGTTTTTCTCATCTTGCTTCACTCAGGCAGTGAGAAGAGCCCGTTTTCCCTGTGTTTGATCTGCCCCGAGCCAAAAGAACGCACCTTCAAGGACCTCCTGTTCCTGCCCAAACTCGGCTTCTCGGGGTGACAATGCAGGCTGGAAAGTGTTTATGCACGGAAAGGTGTTTGCAAAGAAAGGAGAAGAGGCTCCTGCTGCAGCACTGCCGTGGGTCCCAGCTCCAGGAGCACCTGCCTTCACAGCCTGTGTCCCAGATGGAAACCCTGCCTTGTCCCTCCTGAGGAAAAAAAGGTACAGATTGCAGAGGTTCAGCATTGAGAAATAACATTATTTAGGTCAGACTGAACAACTTCTTTGTTTCTTCCAGATACTTTTAAAAAATCCCTCTATGACAGTTCTCGGCACAATTAAATTAGACTTTAATTCACTCGACTGTCTTTTACATTTTCCCTTTGATCAGCACGTAATGATGCACAGCTCCTGTAGCCACGATTATTGAACAGGAGAGAAGGAGAGAGGCTCGAGCAGCTTCTATTGAAAATCGTGTCAAATAAAATCAGTGGGATTTGTTGGAGGGGCTCTGCGAGACGTGCACAGCATTGCAAAAAGGTGCCAAAATGGATGTCAGGGCTCTTAGAAGAGCTCTTAGAGAGAATACGTGACCAAGCAGGCAGCTATCTCTGCAGTTATTAGCAATATCTATCGGGGTTCTGCTCCTTGGTCACACACATTTCAGCGAGCTGAGCATCTTGCACATGCAAAAGGCACGTCTGGCTTTGCAGATAAACACTTATTTTACACCAGCCGAGACGAGGTCTGGAAAGCTGAAAATTGCTCTGAATTCTGGTCACCGAGATCATGAAAAAACTCCCAGTCCTTTTCTGCCAGCTTAGTCATTATCACAAACTTAACAACAACAGGAATAAACATGGAGTTTAACAAGGAAGATCTCTGCTAGTTTTAAAAATTAATTTTCATAAATGATTAAATGCTGCTACAGAAATCAAAGGAAAACATCATTAAAATTCCTGCTTTTCAAGCCGAGTTACATTGAGCTGTGGGTTGCCTGATGGAGCTGGCACGGTGGCCATGGTCCTTCAGTGCCACTTACCTGGACCCTTTGATGTCACAGTGGAGCTGCCCATGGTCACAGCTGCTGGCAGTGGCTTTTATATACCCGACGTGAGGAATGAGGAAAGCCCAGGGAAGGATGGAGCAGGGACATTTCCTCTTTGCTGGTTGTGAAGTGTGACTCCCCTGGAATCCCAGGGAAAGGAAACACAGGTCAAAATGTTTGCAATATTTGCCTTTACGGTTAACTTCATATTCCCTCGTTGGGAAATGGCTGCATGCATGGCCTCGCCAAGTCAGGCCCGTGACACTTCCTTCTCCAGAACTCATGAAACCCAAACCCTGCTGCGCTCTCCCATGACAGTGGTGAGAGCAGGGCACAGAGCCAGGACCTCTGCCAACTTCCACAGCTCACCTTGGAGCCCCCTGTTCAGGGGTACACAGCCCAAGGAGTCCCTCCTGAACCCAAGGGAAATATCCCAACCCCTGTGCACAGATGGAGGGGGAAGATGCAGGATGTACGTTCAAGTCCACCTCAAGGAACTGGCCTGTTAGCAGGGGAAGGCTGAACACAGTGTTCTGGATGCTGCCCAGCAAACCCAGGGGCACCAGTGCTGGGGAGAGAGGAAGGGAGTGTCTGTATTTCCCTGTTGGACTCAGCTGAAAATCCTCCCTTCATTGCCCGGCAGCTCCTTTTCTTGCAGAAGAGCAAGGGAGCTGCTGGGGGTCCCTGCTCCTGGCATGGGGCAGATCTGGGGTCAGGGTGAAGCGAGGGGTTTGCTCTTTCCCCCCAAGGTGCAGTGGCAGAGCAAAGGGTGTCCCAGTCCTCCCACAGCTGGAGTGGAGGTGACACGCGGTGCAGGGCAGTGACAAGACGTGGGACCCATCATGTCCTTACAGTTCACAAGTCCCAACTGGTCATTGACAAGTCCCAGGGTGATGTCGACCACCAGGCAGAGCTGCAGGAGTCAGGGTGGGCTGGTGAGAACCTGTGTTCAGAGCCAGACAAGGACACACAGCCCCACCTGGCTCTGCAGGGCTTCCCCTGGGCATGGGAGCACCAGGCTTGTGGGATGGCAGCCCCAACAGGGACTCCACCAGCTCTGAGTGTGTCCCTGGGCACCTTGCCCTTCCCCAGAGAAGTGAGGTTAGGACTGGGGCCCAGGAGCCCACGGGGGATGGCTAGAAAGACCCTGTGGCTTTCAGGTGGGAGGAGAGACTCCATTAGTCTGTAACATGGTCCAGAGCACTGTTAGGAACTCCCAGCACTTGGACAGACCTCATGTTGAGAAGGAGGAAAAAGCTTCTCCCAAGCTGCTGGAGACATGGTACGTGTCCCCCAACTAATCCCAAGCCACTGGGTGGGTGGATGCAGTAGCCCTGGAACACTGACTGTGCTCCTGCTCTGAGCACCAGCGATGCCATGGAGAGCTGCACTGCAGCTTTTCAAACTCATCACTCCTTCCCAGAATAGGGTTTTTTTCTGATTTACCAGATTAGGAAGAAGTCTGTTCAGGACGCTTGCCAATAAATTATCCACAATTGGGAGCAGGCTGTGGAAAAATAAAGGAGCACCATGAAAACAACCTGCTGCAAAGTAAATGGGTCTTGTTAAACAATTCCCTATGAATAGCGCCGAGCACAGACCTCCCGGAGCAAGGCAATTGCAGCAGCAAAGTGAATCGTTTCTGCTTGGATTTTGCATGAGATAACTGTAATTTGCATCCCAAAATAGCCAGTGGGAAATTTATTGCTGCCTTTTATCTACTAGTGCATAGTCTCCTTAAATGAACAGAAACAACCTCAGCCCGAGTGGCTCCTACAATGTACACACCATGTGCTCACATCTCAGGAGACCCCACACCATGTCAGTTAAAATGACCTGTGTACGTGGCACATGGGACAGAACTGTCCCACAGGACTTCTGGGAGAGCACATCTGTTCTCTGTGGCTGTGTGAAGGGCACACAGAGACCATCACCACCAGCCCGTTGTTCAGCCCTGTGACACAGCCAGTGAGTGGCCATCACCTGAAGGGATGTGGGACAGAGATGTATAACAGGGAAATGCCTTCATGCATTTGCCATTCACAGGGTGGGGCTGGCAGAGCTCGTGGCGGCAGAGGAGGACACCACCATCACTCACCCGCTCAGAAGTCTGATTTTAATGCCACCAAGGAGGGTGTCACATCTCTCTGTCACCAGCTTGGGGTAGCCCATGCCATCCATGGTCAGCCTGACCCTTGCTGTGATGTTCACCTCCACGGTGATGTCAAGCAAACCCAAGAGGCTACACAGGGAGAAGGGAGTGACCTTCAGAGCAACAGCCCCTTCCCGAGGGACAGGAACAGTGTTCCCCCCGAGACACCCTCCGGGAAGGTTCTTCCCCTGCTCCCAGCACATGGCTGGCAATGCCACCAGCAGCTCCACCCCCAGCTCGACTCACCTCTTGCCATTGAGGGCCACTCGGGTGTAGAGGTTGTGGTTGGCACCAATGTCAGGCAGGAGCCTCAGGGACACCCTGGGCAGCGTCTCCTCCACGATCCTCAGCCTGCAGGGACAGCGAAGGGGACACTGCGAGTGACAGCCCTGAGCTCGGCACAAACCAACCCGGCTCCACTGCTCACACGCAGCCACGCTGAGGAGGTGGGCGAGTCAGAGACCAGTTGGACCAGAAATGGCAAAAGATACCGAGTTTTCTCAGTTATTTACCTGGTTTAGTTATTTTCCAGTTTTATCAGAAGCTTGGTTCTTTTGCTTTATTCTTTTTTTCTGCTTCTGCTGGGCTTCAAAGCAGAGTTAATCGTGTGGGCTGCAGACGGGAGTGTTGGCTCTGCAGCAGCCACCAGCGCGCAGCTCGTGCACCCTCTATGGGCAAACGCCTCCTCTGTTCTTCCCTGGGCAGCTCAGGAGGCTCCTTTGCGATGCAAACCTGCAGGATTCCCAGGCAGCTTTTATCTCGTTTTTCTCAAAGCATCAGCTCCAAACCAAACCTGAGCATCTACCGAAGCTCCCCCAAAACAGCACTGAGATGTTCCCCCTGCAAGGCACCCGGACGGTGCTGTCCTTACCTGGTGAGCCCCTGGATGGTGCTGAGCAACCCACCTTCCCCGAGGATACTGAGCAGGCCACCGCCTCCCAGCAGCCCTCCATTTCCCAGGAGCCCTCCTCTGCCAAGAAGGCCACCAGAGCCACTGAGGATCCCTGCTGTGCCGAGGAGACCTCTGTTGCCAAGCAGACCTCCTTGTCCCCATGCTCTTCCAGCAATCCCCACAGGGCTGCCATTCCTGGGGGCATTGCCACCAGCTGCTGGCCAGCCTCTGGGAGGGTTTCTGGGACCCCCACCATAAGCACCTCCACCACCCCCTGCACCCAGCAAGCCACCACCAGCATCACCCCCTCCACCGATCGGGCCTCCAGCCAGTCCTCCCAGCAGCCCTTCACCACCACCACCCAGCAGACCACCAGTAATACCACCAAGCAGACCACCACCACCACCAAGGACACCTCCTATGAGGCCACCCAGCAGGTCCCCACTTCCATCAGTGCTGGGATATCCATTTTGGAGTGGCAGCTCTCCCAGGGCACCTTGGAAGACTTCTTCTTGACTGACAGAGCCTGTAAGAGCTGGACACATCACTTGCCATCAGACCCTGCACAGAGCTTTCTCCTTTTAGGGGTCTGGCCAGTTGAAATTTTAATTACATGATTTTCACATATTACATAAATTTCATACATTTCAATATAAGTAAAGATTTTTAAGCCAGGGAAAAGCATTGAGCAACAGGTTATTGGACACTCAGTATCAGGCAGCACTGTTACTCCAGAGTCCAGGGCTAAAGGGAAGGAAAAGGAGCCTGAGATTCTGTGGCTGTAACAGTGAGGCTGTGCTGATCTGAAAGAGCCATGCTGGGAATTCAGCTTATTCCAGAGAAATCCCTGCTGGCACTTGCACACCAGCTGGCACACACAAGTTACCGTATCAGGGAGAATTTTTTAAGTTTGCAGCAAGTGCACAGGGAGGCTTCAGAAAAGCACCAGGAGATTTTTCTCTCCTTTAGTGCTTGAGGAATGTCAAGGAGTGATTCCTGAGGATTGCCCCACCCACCCTGCAGCTGCCAGCTCCTTCCCAGCAGGCAGTACTTCCACAGCCTCCAAAAAGTCCCTGTGCTGGGACACCTCCCCGGCCACTCCAGGCTATAAGGGCCCTTTTGTCCAGGTGCCCTCAACACTTAATACCTTTGTGAGATCAAATGTGCTTTTTTGGGCAACCTAGTGCATCTTACACAATCAGGGGATATATATGCCTCTAAACAAAGGAGATGTGAGCTCAGGTTATCCATGCCTGGTTCCAGACAGAGCCTTGCACAACAAGCACCATCAGGCTCCATGTGGGATCTGCTGCCAGCAAGTTGCTGGCCAGGAACTGCTCCCTGCAGTGGCTGGAACAAGGGCTCCAAGGGAGTGGGAGATGTCAGCAGGAGCTTTGCTATATCTGTGCCAGTGCTGCATGGCAAGCCCCTCTCTGCCCTCCATCAGTTGGGCACAAGATGGGCTGCAGCAGGGCACCAACCACCACCAAACCCAGTGCCTCTGTGAGTGGCTGTTTCACACCTGGTGTCACAGGCTGAGCTTCAGAAACACTCTCTGAAGGTACCAGTTTCTTGGCTGTAGGTGCAGCCTCCTCACCTTGCTGTGCCACCCCTCTGCGGGCCATGTGGCAGAGGGACACAGTGCAAATGGGTGCTGGCAGCCAGAACTCGTATAAATAAATATCCAGAAAGGGAAATACTGAGGCAATGAGAGATTTTTATTGAAAGAGCAATACAAGAGTAATCTTTCTGCCTAAGGAATAGCTGTGGATGTTAAAAGAGGCCCCAGAAACACCCTAACATCCACCAGCAGAGTAGGTTTCCCACCCCGATGCCAGCCAGAGGCAATCGCCGGCCTTGCTCAGGCCACAGCCACAGCACAGGGCAGTGCTTGAGGGAAAGGAAGAGGGAGAGAGTGGAGCAAGGCTTGGGGTGCACAGTGTGCTGCCTCAGAAAGGGAGCAGCATTGAGGCTCCTCTCGAGCAGTATCTTTCAAGAGTGGTCTGGCCAGGAATCTCGTCCGCCTGGAAGACGCAGCACAAAAACTACTCAGTTTTCTCATTCAGACTTTTACCTGTGTTTTCCTATATCCCCAGGTGAGGTTTTTCTGTGGGTCCACACCAGCAGAGGGACCCCCTGGAAACTGGGAGCAGCCCATGGGAAATGGGGCTGGCTGGGGTAGTGTGGGGCTGTGGGATCTGTGGGTCCCAACCCTGGGTGGGCACATCCCCACTCCCCCAGGACACGGCGTGGTGGGAAACGCAACCCTTACGTCAGTGATGGTGACTTCAGCGTTCCTGAGGTTGGTGTTGAGGACGTTGGGCAGAGGGACCGACACATGGAAGGCGTCTGCAAAAATAGGTGAAAGCATCTTGTCACAGGGAGGAAACCCTGAACACAGGCAGTAAGGGGAGGGGAGAGCCCCAAATCTGTCTGAGTCTGAGATAAGAGGGGGCCCCACCCCGCCATACCATTAACACCAGGTACATATGCAGCTGTGAGGATCTGCTTGAGCCATTCTGTGAGCGAGGGGACCTACAGGGAGGAAGATGTGTCAGTAGCAGAAGAGAGCAATGGTTATTGAGGTTAGGGTTATCAATTGAGTTCTACTCAGTTTGCTATGGAACACAGATGCTGGGAAGCTTCCTTCAGTGAAACCCCTCCAGGACTGAGGTGGGATCTGCAAGGACATGCTTTTGGGGTAATTTCTTCTTGGTTATTCCTCTCCCCTTCCCAACACCCCCATTGTGCTGCCACCAAGTGAAGAGAGACACGTAAGTGTCATCGCTGTAGGGCACGGGGGATTGGCAGGGCAGAGAGTAATTGGCCTCTACCAGAGGAAGAAGAAAGGTGAAGACTGAAGAGGAATTGGCTTTTGGGTTTTCCTCTCATACACAGACTCCCTGGCCATTGCATCAATCCCTGCAGCACCTCGATCCAGTGTAAGCACTTACGGCAGAAGGGTCGAGTGACGAGGGGAACCGTGTCACCTTGATGCTACAAAAGATAAAAACAAGACAGAGTTGGGGTGCATCAGCTGCAGCCTCCTCCTCCAGACCCTTTCTTGGTCTGGAATTTGTCTCACCCTCATAAAGATACAGGATTTTGAAAATAGGGCAACTTTTTTACAACTGTCTCATCACTTCAGCCATGCAGTTGGTCTGAGTTTGGGGCTGGGAGGCAGCAGGAAGGCTCTGGCAGCCTAATATGGCATCTCTACCATGTCTACATCACAGTCCCCCATCACTGCCACCAGCCCCATTTGTTGGTCCCCAGGCAGAGCCCTGCCACCTGCAGAGCTTGTCTCTACCTGTCAAGAGCCAGGGAGGTTTGCAGTTTGCCGTCAGAGACCGATGGGGTGATGTGCAGAACAATGTCCTGAAAATGGAACAATGAAAGAAATGAGGTTATTCCCCTGCACAGCTCCCAAGACTGAAAAGTGTATTTGTAAATTACTCATTCTAAGAAAAAACACTTGTCTGTGCCTAGAAGCCACATTTTTGTGACGGATGGCATCATGTATCTCTCTCCCCAGGGTTCACCTTCGTGTCTTTATATTGAGTTGTTCCTGAAACATTTTACTTACACTTTGTGCTTGGTTATGAGCGTGTTTAAAGGACTGAGCATCACCGTTTTGACGATGCAGTAAATTCAAAAGCACAAATACTGCAGAGCCAAGGGCAGGACAACCCAAGGGGATGCCAGCGGGCAGCCAGCCTCAGCCATTGCCCTGTTCTGGGGATCTCATCCCCCCAGAGCTCACTCACCGTGTCGAGGGAGAAGAGGAGCCCCTGGGAGGTCTGTAGGGCAGGAACATGGATGTCAGTGGAGGCTTTGAGGGTGACAGTGGCTCTTCCATCCCTCACGGCCACCACCGGCTGATCTCTCATCCGGACACGCAGCTCCAGTGGCAGAGAGCCAGGGAGGGCCCGGGCAAGCTGCAGGGGCAGAGAAGGTCAGGGCAAGGGGGTATTTGCATAGTTGGGGTGGGTAGAGGGGTTGGAATCAATGCACATGGAGGAGGTGACTGACCTGGGGGATGAACGGGAAAAGGGCAGACACGGACAGCGAGGTGCTCTCGGGAACCTGTGGGAACAGCACCAGTGACATCGTTGGCCAGGAAGGTTTGTGCCAAGCCCACTCTGGGCACAGCTGGACCCCACAAACACAGGCAGCAGCGAGCACATTTGAGTCACCCAAGAGCAACCAGGACACTGACCTGGCCTTGGAGAGGCGATTGGCTACTCATCAGCGAGTTGGTGATGCTGAGGTTGAGGGCTCCCTGCCCCTGGACCTGCTCCAGCAGGGCTCTGAGGGTGTCCTGGGAGAGGCTGAGCTGTGGTGGGCGGCCAGTGGCCAGCAGCAGGGTGGCGGCGAGTGGCAGTTGCTGAGTGGGGGCCACTGTGCCACCCTCGGCATTCCCGGAGAGGAGCTGTATGAGGCAGAGTGGACAGGGATGTTGGTGGTGCTCAGAGGGTTGCACTGGGCACCCTGCCCACCCGTGGACCTTGTGGAGAGGCTCACACAGGGTTTGTTGGCACCTTAATGAACACAGGGCTGCTCCAGGCTGCTCTGGCACAGACAAGGCTGCATCTGCTACCCCTTCCCCATTAAAATGCTGCCCTATCTCCCAATTGGAAAAACACACTGCTGATATTTTGGGCCTGATTACAGTCCCTATCAATTTCCAGACTTTGACAAACCACTTATAAATAGAACACGCCTGTGAGCAGTGACTGCTGCTCCTGCATGAAATTAAACTTTTCTAATTAACAACTATGAGAGTGCTACAATTATGCTTAACTAACAGCTAAGTAGCATGAAGCCGTTCTGGCTCATGCCACCACCAAGGATTAACAGGTAAAAAAAATCAGGTAGAGACACAGAAGTGGCATTAGCAGGGATGTGGCTGGGGCAGACTCATCAGACCCTTCCAAAGCACGTGTGCCTGAAGGCAGCCGGAATCCAAGGAGCCTTTGACAAACAGCCATCATGTTCCAGTGAACCACCCAAACTCAGCACATCAGAGGTTTTGGGACCAGGGAACACGGTGGCACTTACGTTCAGATCCAGCTGGATGGAGTCACTACCGAGGATGGAGAAGGGGGGCAGGTCCCCCAGAGCCCCGAGCGGGAGCATCTCTGTGGACACAGGGAAGAAAACTCCTCAGCTGCAATGGCAGGGGATGCTCCCAAATCCCATGGTCCCAAGAGTTATTGGAACCAATGGCAGTTCCTGCTCACTGAGTTCCCAGCTGGAAAAGCTGCTAGAAAACTCTATTTAGTAGCAAAAAAATGTTGTTTCCAGAAGCAACAGTTCCTGCAGTGGGTTTCTGCAGGAAGAGCTGGCTGCTGCTGCAGGGGTAGGGAATCGTAATGCTCGGCTTGACCTGGGAGTTGTGTTTTTAGAAAATTGCTAAAATATATGTATTTACTCAGTGTAAAAAAACAAGCCATGCTAAGTGCAGGGATCCCTGGGAGCAGAGGGAAAGGAGGTGCCAGCACTTACGGTTCCTGGAGCCAAGCAGAGAGTTCACCACGTTGAGCTTGGCATTGATGATGTTGCAGCCCTGGGGAGCAAGAGGGAAGTGAGAGGGTCCTGCTGCAGCAGTGGGTGACATGGCACCAACAGTGACAGCAGGCCCTGCTGGGCTGCACACGTGGGCAGAGCCACTGCAGGCAGTGCTGGGTGGGACATCCCATCACACAGAGCTCAGCATCGGGTGAGTGAGTGGCCCCTCTGACCCAGCGTGGGTCTCACCTGGGTTAGTGGCTGCTAAACCAGCACCTGCTTCAGAAATCTGTTTGCCAGCAGAGCCTGGCACGGGTGATGGTGCTGGTGTCTTTCAGCAGGGAGGACAGGCTGACCGCCCCAGCTGAGCCCACAGCTGTGCAAACAGCCACATCCATGGGGCAGCCTGGCCCACTGCCTGCCCTGCCTGCACTGCCCGTGCTGCCTGTTCTGCCTGCCCACCCAGCACTGTGCTGGTGGCTGGTGTGAAGATGGCTGTGCAGACTCACCAGATCACTCAGGACATCACTAAGGAGGCGTTTCAAAGGCTCATCCAGAACTGGCACTCTGGGACTGGTAGCAGGAAAATAGGAAATAACAAGTGACAGGTTAGTACTGGAAAGTAGAAGTGCTTCACACAAGAGAAACATGAGGGCTCATTTGAATTGTCCGTATTCAGAGCCAAAATATTACTAAACCCAAGCCCTTTGAATCCCACCCAGGGCTAGGTTCCCAGCATCCCGAAATGTTCTTTTCTTAGCCCAAATTTTAAAAAAAGGATGGCAGTTTCCCTCCAAGCCTGACAGCCGGGTAGTTCACCCTCCAAGGTGTCAGAAAGCGCTGCCATCGATGGCCAAAAGCACCAAGGTGTCCCACTGCCACAGGAGCCACGGGCAGCCCACTCCCAGAGGTGTTACCTCACACCTGATTCCTACCTCACACGGGTGTTTATGTCAACAGTCTTGCAGTTCATGTTGCTCTGGTGAGCCGTCCAGGTGTCCTGGACCAGCATGGTCACATCCACCTCCACCTGCTCGCAGAGCGGCTGGCCCGGCACACTGCCCGGGGGGAGCACAGCATGCAGGTCAGGAAATTTGCTGACCATCTACTTTCCAAAGAGATGATGACCCCTCCACCCTGAGCCATGCCCCAGATGGACATGCCATACCTGCTCTCTACCAGCAGCTGGGTGTTGAAGTCCACCTGGTGCCCAAAGCCTGGCAGGGAGCGCAGACTTATTTTGGGGAGGGTGTTGTTCACAATTCTCAGCCTGGACGGTTGGAACAAGGAAAAGACAGTGAAGAGCACATTTGTACACTGGGTGCCCCATCTCCTCAGCCCCCAGCACTGTGGCTGATTTTAGACCCATGCTCTTGGGGTCCTCTCCACCCTGGGTCATCAGGGATCCCCAGCAGCCAGGAGCAGCTTGTGGCCCATACGAGGCACCCTGGCATGGCAGGCACAGGCAGAAACTCCCAACAGATGAACCTCCACTTATAAACCTGTCCCATGAGAGGAAAGAGGGGGCCCTGTGTGTGCAGACAGCAGGCTCCAGACTAGAGTCTCCTTTCCCGAGGATGGCCCAGACACACTGGGCTGCTCAGGGTCACTCATCTCCCACTCTCACTCACCCCATGAGTTCTTCACCATTTCTCCCAAGAAGGCTGCCAACAAGACCATTTTTGCCAAGGAGACCATTTTTGCCAATGAGAAGTTCGAGGACAGTATCAAGGAGAGTATCGACAAGACCATCTTTGCCAAGGAGACCATCAACGACACCGTCTTTGCCAAGGAGACCATCAATGACACCACCTTCGCCAAGGACACCAGCAAGGACACCATCCCTGTCAAGGAGACCCCCAAGCAGACCATCTCCACCAAGGAGACCACCTAGGAGACCATCTCCACCAAGGAGACCACCTCCACCAAGGAGACCACCAAGGAGACCATCTCCACCAAGGAGACCATCTCCACCAAGGAGACCACCAAGGAGACCATCTCCACCAAGGAGACCACCTCCACCAAGGAGACCCCCAAGGAGACCGTCCCCACCAAGGAGACCCCCAACAGCACCATCTTTGCCAAGGAGACCTCCAACAACTCCATCTTTGCCAAGGAGACTGCCAACAGCACCATCTTTGCCAAGGAGACTGCCAACAGCACCATCTTCGCCAAGGAGACCTCCAACAACTCCTTCTTTGCCAAGGAGACTGCCAACAGCACCATCTTTGCCAAGGAGACCTCCAACAACTCCTTCTTTGCCAAGGAGACTGCCTACGGCACCATTTTTTCCAAGGAGACCACCAAGCAAATTGCCACCAAGGAGACCACCTTGATGCTTCTGGGGAACACCTCTGGCTGGTGAACCTTTAAAACCTGAAAAATAGGATGGGAGGTCACTGTGAGCTATGTGGACTCAGCACACAGGTTGTGCCAGCCTGGCTGTTCCTTCCCCTCCACTGTCCTTCTTCATGTAAATGACGTGGTGCCACCAGCCACTGTGAAGTATCTGAAGAGACATCTGCAAAGTGCTGTATAAATGCAAATTACCAGCATTGGCACCACTGCTGAGTGGATCTGGACCAGCTTCTGATTTTCTGAGCATGATCAAGAGACAAAAAGAGCCAAAAAAAGGATAAATCCTGTCTCTTACATACACTTACCATCTGTGTCTCCTCTGGCAACCAAGGGTATGAGTCCAAATCCTTGTGAAGGGGCCAGCAGACTGCTGAGGAGGACAACAGTCCAGAACGCCGACATCTTCGGTCCTGATAACTGTGGGAAGTAATTGCCATCAGTGCAGGGCTGGGAGAGTGAGCACCAGCCCACGGTAGGAGGAAAGAGGAGGAGGAAAGATTGTAAAAAACAGAAAATAATTTTTAAAGTTTCAGTGTCATTGAAATATTTCTGTGTGACCTAAAACTTGAAGTAGCTTTTTCTTCTTTTTTTTTTTAAAGAACCAAAACGAACTTCATTGCTCCAAATCTATTTAAATGTAAATAGCTCATCAAAAAGGGATCAAAACAAGTGTGAGAGGTCTAATTCCCCTTAGCTAGAAATCTATCTCAGATAATAGAGTTATACCAAAGATAATTTAAGTGATAATTGTTTATGAAAACCCTGAAATACCCTTTCTTCTGCAAGGACTGCAAATCCAGTGAACACTCACATCTGTTCTTGAGAGACTCACAGTGAAAGGCACTGTACATTTTACTTGCTGGAGCATAATTCAAGCAGGTAGGAGGCAAGAATAACAATTTTTGCTAAAAAGCCAACACTCTCAAAGGAACATTGAGGGTTTGCAGCAGCAAGGAGCACACTTTTTGAGGAGTAAGTTTGCTCTTACCTGACCAAGCTCTCGAGGACGAGGCTCTCTCCAGCCAATGTCCCTGCCTTCTGAGGATGACCTGCATCAAGGATCGTCATATATAGAGCTTCACAACAGGAAAAAGGCAAGTGATATCATTTAGGACATACAGAATAATTGGTGGGGAGCAAAACAAACAATATTTGGTTTCTGGTGACTTCCACTGCAAATATTTCCGTGGAGATGTTAGGAGTTAGGTAAATCATTGAGCAACCACCTGTAGGCACAGACTCAGCCAGCTCTGGGTGCCTGGTTTGGTATATCATCCTTTCAGCCTGTCAAAGTGTGGACATGGCTGAGATGTCATGCCCTGATAAAATACCTTTTTTTTTTTTTCAAATAAAATTGAGATTTTGACCAAAAAATGTGTCAAAACACTGGCCACCTCTGCCTGGTAAGTACTTCTGCAGTTTTTGGGGCTGCAGTACTGAGCATTAAGCCCACAAGTGGGGATGTGCCACAAATTATGGGTGATAAATGAAGGACCAGGCAGCACCTTTCTCAGTGTAAAGACAGGTAGAGATAGTAACACAGACAGGTATTTGCTGTCCATGCCAGCAGGACATGCCCAGCACTCTCATTAAACTTGCCTCCAGCCTGTGACTGAACCCAACATTTATTAAAGCCAACAGCCCCTGTCCAGGGACTGGAATAGCTCATGATCCCTTTGATAACTGAGGAAAAGGGGTTATTGAATTGGGAAGGAATGACAAGGTGCATTGATCAGGTGTCATGGCCTAGCAGATACCCTGAGCTGACAGACTCTTCAGAGACTGGAAAATGCTGCCCTGTTCTAACTGGCATGGCATTGCTTCCAGGTCCATCACCTCTGCTCAGGGCACTCCAGAGGACTGGAGCTGGGATGCTTTCATGGCTTGAGAGGCTGATGACATTGCCCACAAAGCCAGGGAACTCCCAGGCCAGAGCTGGCTGATTTGGGGTCTTTTTGAAGTCCTGGAAGGATTGTTGATCCCTGTGTGGGCGCACCAAGAGAGGCACCTCCCTGCCACACCACCCCTTGCAACAGATGTCCTGCAGCTGCCCAGGGTCTTCTGCCTCCTCCCCACAGCTCTCTTCAGTCCCCTGCCCTGATTGCTGCCCAGGGTACACAGAGCCACTGCACCAGAGCAGCAGCTCTCTGGGGCAAGGAAAAGAAACCTTCCCCTGGGGACCCAAGACCAAATGTGGTCCCTGTGTGTGGAGCACATCCCGACCTGCACAGCAAAAGCTGTGTGTGCTGGAGGGACAATGCACAGGCCAAAGGGAACAGGGGTGAACTGTTCACTCCTTCACTGCCCAGTGCCCTCACTGATGACAAGGGTGGATGGGAATGGCTGCTCCCCAGCTCCAATGAAAACAGCCCAGAAAAACGCGTGCTCGGAGTTAATACTTTCTGCAAACTTGGAAATAAATATTTCCAGCAGATTAGCCAGCTTTCGTCACATATTATTACCAGTTTTAAAAAAATACCTTAAACAAAAATACCCTGGCTACTTAAAGGCCAAGGAAGGGGTGGCAAAGGTGTCAAAACACTGAAAGAGTTGTCACTCTCCTTGCAACCTGATCAGCCAGGAGCACAAAGCCCCATGACATGGCAAGATCATGACATCTGATAAGATGGAAGAGAGCATTAACAAGGTGGTGTTATGTTATCATCCATCATGAATCACTTTATGCTCTGGGCAACCACTGTCCGAAACCTGAATTATTATAAAGACAACCTTGATACTGGTCAGTGCACAGGGAAGGGGCAGGTGGCATCACCGGGAATAGCTCCTGTGCAGTGACCTTTCAGGCATGACAGTAACTTGGCCTCTCCCCAGCGGCTGCTGAATGAAGAGGTCTCTGACCACTCACTGTTTTGGAGAACCCGAGGTGGATTCCAACAAAGACAATGACATGCTGATGTCCAGGTCTCGCTAAAGTGACTTTCAAAGCCCCAAGGACACAAAGCCAAATCACTGAGTGAGGACAGAAACATGGAGTAAACCAGAACGGATTTGGTCAAAGGGAGAAGAATAGGAGTGATGTGAACAGACAGGTTCACATCAGTTCTCCCTGCTTGGATCACCTGCAATGGAGAGGTCAGGCAAACAGTAAGGGGCACGTAACCCCCAGAAGCATCCGAGACCTTGACATTAGCAGGAGGTCAGCAAGCTCTGACCAGGACAGGCTGAGTGAAATGTCTTGGCCATGGCTGGAAAATGAGACAGATCTGCTGTGCTCTCCCATTGATAGCATCATTGCAACATGGTCTCTCTGCCTTAGGAAACAGCCTCTGTGGGGATCTGTGAGCCAGCACAAGCTGGGTTTGCCCTGTTATCCCTCTGGGACCACTGAGGTACATCCCTGATGCTGCAGGATCAGGGCTGCTGGGTCTGTGTAGGGCTCCAGGGGACAGCACTGGATAAGGCTGCACCTCCAGTAAGTGCTCCAGGGCACCAAGTACCAGTTACGTGATAGTGGAGTTGTTCCATGAAAAATTAACTAGGCACCCGCCAAGATTCTCAGCCTTAATTTCCCTAGGAGGGCTGTGTACAGATATTTGGATTCATTTTTTGTTCTTCTCAAGGGAATTGAGACTCAATCTGTTCAACTGTCTCTTAGTTAATGCAAGAACAATTAGGGAAATCTCTCTAAAATATGCACTGGGCGCTGCCCATGTTTGCAGCGCCATGAAGAGAGGCACCATAAACCCCAGTTTTCATGGAGAGCTGGTTTTACAGCTCCTTCCTCAC